ATGAATGAATGAATGAATGAATGAATGAATGAATGAATGAATCTAAAACTGTGGAGTGATCTGTAATTTACAAGCTGTATTTACTCCAGTTTCTGCTTCTTTTGTGTCAGTACCAAGGTGACATGGATTATTGAAACAATAGGAAGATGAAATAGAAGTGTATACTCTCTAAACCAGTGTTTATCAACCTTGGCAACATTCAGATGTGTGGACTTCAACTCCCAGAATTCCCCAGCCAGCATGAATTCTGGGAGTCAAAGTAGAATTCCTGGAATTCTGGGAGTTGAAGTCCACACATCTTAAAGATTCTAAGGTTGAGAAACACTGCTCTAAACCATAAGACCATTGTTCTAATGTTAACTATGGTACAACTCGTTTTGGTATACATTAATTTAAAAGATACATAAGTTCCACTTTGGATTTCACCTGCTTTACCTAGGCCTGGAAATCAAACCCAATAATCTTTCTAGCAAGATAGGGAATATAGAAATAGTTTTCAGAGAAATTTGCTGCAGCCCCATTGAAGAATCTCTGAAGTAGATTACTTTGACCTCCCCTCCCCAAAAATTCTTTAAGCTTATTCATTCACTGAAGCTATCGTAATGGTTGTATTTCCTTGTCATTTCATTCATGCTTTTATTGTTTTCTTTCAGGTGAAACCCCAGCTTATCATTATGGCACTCACTATTCATCTGCAATGATAGTAGCTTCGTATCTTGTGCGAATGGAGCCTTTCACACAGATATTTTTAAGGCTACAGGTAAAATATATAGCTTCATTCTGTGTTTTGGAAAGCTTGATTTGCAGCGTAATTCTCAGCATACTTAACTCTTCATCAGTGCATTGTTCCACGTGGCCATTTGTCACTCTTAAACCTGTTATTTATTATGCCTGTTACTTATTTATCATGCCAGAAAATTGTCAGTTATGCATGCGGCCACACTGCGGGCCAATTTTGCAGCTCAAATTTGTTTTTAGATCCACATTAATCCTGCATACTTTGGAGTAAATCTTACTGAAGATAGAGTGACTTTGTCCTGAGTATACATATATGGGTTGCATAAGCATGGAATTTCTGAGAGATGAAAATGTGTGCATTCACAATGCCAGATATTAAGTTATTATCTTAACCAAAGTTAGCTGCATAAGATAAGAACATGATAGCCCTGTCGGATCAGGCTAAGGCCCCTCTTTGTCCAGCATTCCACCTTGCACGGTGGCCTAACAGATACCTCTGGAGTGCTCCCAGACAGGAGGTACAAATATTCTCTTTTTCCATTGTTGCCCCCTGCAACTGGCAGCTGAAGGCATGCTATCTCCAATCTGAAAGTAACACTGAATCCCAAGATTAATCATCCTTGATAGATCTCTCCTCAAAATGATTATTTTAAACAAATGTTTTGGAGTACGTCTGATTGTTTGTTTATTTAGCTAGGCTCACATGCCACTCCAATCTTCAACTTATATGGGAGGGGAAAAAAGGTGGGTATTTTATTAATTTATTTCACAGATCCAAAGTTACAGTGAAGTTATTCTTTTCCTTCCATAGGGCGGTCACTTTGACTTAGCCGACAGAATGTTTCACAGTGTGCGGGAAGCGTGGTACTCTGCATCCAAGCATAATATGGCAGATGTCAAGGAGCTCATCCCAGAATTCTTCTACCTCCCAGAGCTGTTGCTTAATTCTAACAACTTTGATCTCGGTGAGAAAAGCTATTTTCAGTAGTCTTTAGGGATTTTGGTCAAAAAGGACATAAAACGGATGTGTGGTGTGGCTGGTAAACAAGGATTTTGCCAGCCCCACTAGATAGATAAGACCAAAAAAATCAATCCCACAGGAGGACCAGAACTACACTTTATTGAGATTGGCTATAACAACAGAATCTTGCCAATCTGATTATGCTGTACCTGTTTCCCCTTCTTATACTCCAGTGAATCAGAGAGCCATTTTCCTTGAGCCACTTCCAGATATTATCTTGTTTCCTAGTACTTAAAGAATGCTTCAGCCCCCTTTGCCTAGGTAATGATTCTTGCACATTTCTGCAGATTTACCTGGAAGCTTCAGAGTGTGATACATTGTTTAGATAGGGGTTAGATAGTTTAATCCAGTTCCCATAGTAAGAACAAATCCTTAGTCTTTAACTCAAAAGCACCATGTTCTTTAATTTTGTATTTTCTTTATATCAAGCTCTAGGTGGTGGATCTTGGCATTCTGATAAGAAAATAAAACGTATCAAGGTCTGCCTACCAGTATTGATTTCCAAAAAAAAAAAAATGACCATTTTATGTTCCTCTTTTATAGTTAGAATATCCTTCAAAACATCCAAGGAGGCATGCAAATACAGCAGATGCTGCTGTAATCAAGATATAAATACATTTTTGTTTTATAGGCTGCAAACAGAATGGCACCAAACTTGGAGATGTAATACTTCCCCCATGGGCAAAAGGGGATCCCCGTGAATTCATTAGAGTACATCGAGAGGTAATACAACTTTCTGTCTTAAAAAGGAAAGAGAGAGAGAGTGAGATTTGAAAACAATAGGTAGGCTGGCTTTCATCCAATTCTTGAGTTGTGTTTGAAAGAAATCGATATATTCCAGCTTATATTTTTGCTCAGCTTGTTGAAGAGTACTAGATAAAATATGTAATGAATTACTCTTTTTCCTAGAAAAAATAATCTTTGGATGTGCTATTTTAGTAGGAAGTCACCCTGTTTCTTCAACTGTTATTCTTATTCATCCATGGCAAATAGGATCAGGTTGTCTTTATTTAACATATATATTTTAAATTGCAGGCTTTAGAGTGTGATTTTGTGAGTGCACATCTACATGAGTGGATTGATTTAATTTTTGGCTATAAACAGCAAGGGCCAGCTGCAGTCGAAGCTGTAAATGTTTTCCATCATCTCTTCTATGAGGGGCAAGTGGACATATACAACATCAATGATCCATTGAAAGAAACAGCTACAATTGGATTCATTAATAATTTTGGGCAGATACCTAAACAGGTAGTATTTTTTAAAGAGTTTTTTACTTGCATTTTTGGAGATCTGTAAGTCTTACGATTTATTATATATTCCAGCTTCCCCGACCTCCTGCCTTCTAGATAATTGGGACTTTAGTAACTATAGCAACTCCCAGCCTCTGTAGCTTCAGGAAATTCTAGAAATTGTAACCCAAATTCTTCAGGAGGGCATTGGAAAAAGTTATTATATTGTACAGCTCCAAGGAAGGAAGAAGTTTGAATCTCAAATCTGTGTTTATAATTTTATGATGAAGCACTTATGCTCAAATATTTAGAATCAATAGTTAGCTCATAATATTGCAAATGAGCCATATCCTTGGGTTCAGTAGGGGAGACTATTAGACTAGAAAGATCATTGCATGATAACATAACCAAGTTAAAGGTTAATTGGATGGCAGCCGGGTGACTCAAAACAGATGCTCTTTTTTACTTCCTGTTTTCATGACTCGGTGATGTGAAGTTTCTGCAAACAAATAAATACTTGAGGCAAAGAACAGTGTAAATAATCACATCCGATTAGGGCTTGCATAAATCTTCAGTTTAGGGGCAAGCTTGGAATGCAGTTTGCTTGGAATGACTTTCATGCAAACTCTGCTGAAATGAATGGGATATTTAAAAAAAAAAATCCAGGAAAACCATGTCCCCTTCAGAAAAGTATTTAAAGGTTAAATATGAAAGGTTAGTGTGAACTTGTCAGATCTTCATAATTCAAGGTTTGTGTGGTTCTCACAACTCTATATAACTTGGCATTGTTTGTATTGACTTTATGTTTTCAACAATTTAAGCGATGTATCTTCCCTGCTGGACCTTTCAGGCATTCTGTGATTGATTAATATGGGTTGGGGCATTCATGTTCTTAGAAGTAGTAAATATTGGAAAGTTACTTATTCAACATGACATGATGAGCTGAAACAATTGAAAACAGACTGAATGTTTCCTGTGACTGAAATCCAATTTCTGCTCACTTAAACATCTCTGATATACTTAAGGAATCAGAATCAGTATTTAAAGCAGGTAACTAAGTTAGTTTGGTTTAGCAACTTTGACTTGAATTAAAGCAATTAAAAATTCAGTTAAATTGGTAAAAATCATTATATAGAGGAATTTCTATTTGACATATCCAAAACATGGTTTCTTTTGTTCCCCTGTGGTAGATAATTGTGGTCATGAATTGATAGTATTTGCATCCAAGATCAGATTCCATATCTTCGCCAGGATTCTGTTCCTAACGACACCACCTTTTTCTCTCTTCTTTTCCAAGTAACATACAACATTCCATCTCTATGGAGCAAGCTGGGCTTTCACTGGGCTGATGTTTGGCAAGAAGAAGTCTTTTATTTTTAAAAGTTGTCTTCCTGTTTCTGCAAATGTCATAGTTCCCTTGCACATACATTCATTCTGTTTCTTCCTGTTCTGAATATTTTTGACTCCAGTTCTGAAGTTCTCTTTGGATGGGATAAATGTCACTCAGCAGCCCAGCCTTCAGTAATGTTTGTAATGCATCCTTTTGCCCATAGTTGTCTTTGAGGAAGAATTGTTCTCCAGTACATAAAGCAGTCTCTCCCAACCTTATCCTTCCAGATATGTTGAGCTACCACTCCCATTATAGCTGGGGTATAGTAGCTGTCATTCAGTATTTCTGGAGGGGACCAGATTGAGAAAGGTTGTTTTTAATCTCTTTAAGGAGGCCAAACATTCTAATGTACCATGTATCTCATGTTCAAGAAACAAAATCTTGTGTGAATGTCCATGCATGTAGGAAGACATACATGACAAGTTCTAAGTACAGGGGTATCCAGAGGTATTCCCCAAGGGGAAAAAAAGGCAAGGAGATGGCCATGACTAGATGATTGAACCCCTGCCCCTTTTTTATCTGTGTCACGTGTAATGCACTAAAGAAGGTTCAGGCTTTCAATTGCAAGTAATGCTTTAATTTTAAAAAGGAATCAGGTTTTTCATGTAACAAGAGTGCTGTCATTTTGTATAATCTAAAATAATGATGATGATGATGAAGATGATGATGATATGAAGAAGGGTGATCAGCAGGAATCTAAAGTCTGTTGTGTTTAGATTCAAGTCCAAATGGATCCCAACCATTACCTGTATAATTATTGAACTCTATCAGAACTCTGTCAGAAATGACTCTATTTTTGTGGCTTTTTATGATAATCTTGCAACTAAATGCACAGGCATGTGAATAAGCATTTCTTTGCAGAGAGAATATATGAGAGGCATCTCTTGGGGGAATAGATCTGTAAAGATCAAAATCAACTCCTTAAACAAAGTGAACATCACCAAACATCCCACATGCTATATGATTAGCTCCACATTGAACCTTATTGCAATACCCTTGGCTCTTTGAAGTTTCCATGTTGTCCTAATCGCTGCCATATGAAGCATGTATGGAGCACATTTAGTGGCTTAATCAAGAAATTATCAGATGACATAAGGACATAAGTCATGTTGTTCCTGTAAAAGTCATTTATGGCTAATGAATCAACTTATGCCTGGAAACACCCTTCCTTCTCCTGTGAGCAGAATGACTATAAAGCCATCCACTCCAACTTACAGAGGCAGTCTGGAAGGGTATTTCAGTCACTGGGTGATCTAACAGCTTCCAAACCATTGTGCTGATCCTACCAATCTTTTTAACCAGAGCAAGACCAGTTTCCTTCTCAGAACGGGGCTGGAAGTCTAATTAAAATGGAACTCTATTTATTCACTGTTTGTCCATTTAAATGAACAATATCAAGCATTTATAGCCCTGAGCAGTTTACAGATTCATTTGACAAAACAGTTTGTGCTTTTTAGTTTAACAATCCAGAAAGACCTGACAACAGAAGAAAAACAAGCCACCGAGAGTCTCTTCCTACTGGAACAGTGCATAAGCCTCAGCAATTAAATAAATAAATTAAGGAGGAAAAACAAACAAGGAAACTCAGCCATCAATTATCCCAAAAATAGCCAGGGACCCAATCTCCCTAAAAATGTTGAGAAAACCAAAAATTGTTCTCACAAGTATCATCTGATTTTGGGATCTGCCTGCTTTTTATCCCTTCTGTAGGTATAATGCCCCAATATTTCAAGCAGAGACTCCTGTTGTTCTTCATGGAAGTACTGTGGAATTGATGGTGGTATGTGAGCAGGAAAAAGAGATTTTAAATAACAGCATGTACTTGTAAAAAGACTTATGGATGACACTGACGTTTTGAAGGCCGTTTCTGCAAATTATGCAATTTGCTGCAAATCTGTGTAATTGTGGTATTAAGCTTGCAATGTTCTCTTTCTTCATGTAGTTATTTAAGAAACCTCACCCACCAAAACGAGTGAGAAGCCGAATTAACGGAGAAATAAGTGGAATTTCTGTCCCTCCTGGTATTACAAATGACAAGATTTTTTTCCACCATTTAGACAACCTCAAGCCTTCCCTAGCACCAGTAAAGGGTATATGTGATTCATTTTCTTTACTCTTGGTTTATTTTAATAATGATCGTAGTCCACTTTGTCTTATGAACATGTCTCTGTGGTGTTTGCCCTTGAAAAGGGCTTCCAAACTCTCTTTATAGTTAAAGCCCTTGTGCATTTTTGAATGAGCCAAGGTTAAAACAAAAGCAAATGATAAACAAGCAAACCAATGAGAAAGGGACAAGTTAATGTCTCTTAGCACTCTATTAGAATAATATACAACTCCTTATTGTATGGAACATGGAGTAATAATGCACAGGTGTCCAAGAAAACTGAATGTTGTTCACCATTCATTTAGAGTCTGTAGGGCCTACACATAGTGGGAGCTGCCTGGGATATCTGTACCTTGGACATTCAATTCAAATAGAGTGTTACCACTGTTAGCAATGCTCATTGGTAAAACCCACAAATTATAATCCCTCAAAATAACGAAGGTCTTGAATGAATGTGGTTGGCATGCTCACAGATTTGTGCAGAAGATCAGCATGAGCTTAACATCCTCACCCCCGCCCCATTCTATCAACGTCTCTACTGTTCTGCACGGGAGTAGTTCTCAGAAAAGTCTGTTAGAAGCCAGAAATGGAGTTAGAGGTTGTGTTACATTTCTCAGTAGAGTTCAGCTGAGATACCTGGCCTGCCATCTCAAATTTACATATTTGCTTACTGATTTTATATGCAAATGTATTCCAGAGTAGAAGCCAGCCTTGTACTGTGTCTGCACTACAGATGATTGATTATGTTTTGTGCTGTTTTGGTTTGCATTTCTTTTAGCAATTTAGAACATGGCGTGTATCATTCAAAGCTTTGTTTTAAGTGTTTCTGTTTACTGTTTTTAACCATTGTTGGTTTTAATTAATCCCTACCCCTCATCCCCATAAACCTCTCCAAGACTTGACATCTTTTTCACCACTCATATAATATTGAATTGAAACTTGGATTCTTTAAACCCTAACCCGAGAGAAGAGCAATAGATTTCTGTATCATACTCAAGGCCTTGATATATTTGGAAAGTTTCTTTTCCAATTACTGATAGCTTGGTAATATTAAAAAAAAGTTTATCAGAAATAGATTTTAAGCCCATGTGAACTATTCAGACATTTATATGCCCATAGTGCTCAAGTATGGCTTTCATCAAATCTCAGTTAGGGAAGTGCTTTTTATAAAAAGAGAAAAAATGTGAATCCTGCTTACTTCTGTTTGTTTTTCTTTGAACAGAACTCAAGGAGCTTGTAGGGCAAATAGTATGCACAGACAAAGGAATTTTGGCTGTAGAAATGAATAAAGTTCTCCTTCCACCCACCTGGAATAAAACCTTTGCTTGGGGGTATGCAGATCTCAGCTGTAGGTTAGGAACCTATGAATCAGATAAGGTTTGTATCTCTGTGGCTTACATACTGGATAGAAAAATGAGATGAATTATTTGGGCCAAATACAATGTCTTAGTAGTGGGGCTTGGTGAAACTATGTATTTACATAACAAATATGTACAATTGTCCTGTTCTGCTTATTTGACATAAGAGAAACTGGTCTGGTTTTGCCTTTCAGCATCTTTAGCAAATACATAAAATCAGAATTGTTCATTTTTAAAAGAGCAGAGCTAGCCAGATTGTCAAGAGATGGCACATCCATTGTTTCAATCACCCATAACCCATTTTTGGGAGGGCAGTTAAAATGTTTCTTGTTAATCAGGTTTATAATCAATCTGAGGTTTGGTAAATTTTACCGTTCACTAGTGTTTTTTGTATCATTTTACTCCTTAGAATATGTTACTTTGATCTCATACCCAGGAAAATTGGGATATAAATGATGATTTAAACAAAGAAACAAAAAGCTAAAAGCTGGCTCCTAAACCCAGCTTTCAAACTGAGTTCCTAGGTTTTAACAATTCATTGCTACCATCCCAATGCTCTTTTGGAAGAAAAAGAAAGCCAGCTCTTGAATTCCAGAATCATATGGTAGAAAATGTATTATTATGCCTTTCTTTTCCCTTTATCAGAATTAGTCTTGCATCTTTCAAGTGCTCCTTCCTGACCAGTGTCCACAACTTATTATTTATACTGACACAGTGTTAGAATGTTTGGAATTGGATGCTGTTCTGAAAGTCAGGGCATGTATGATTCATCGTTTTTCATTTTTTAGGCAGTGATCGTTTATGAATGCTTATCGGAATGGGGACAAGTTCTCTGTGCCATCTGTCCAAACCCTAAACTGGTCATTACTGGAGGCACCAGCACAGTTGTCTGTGTATGGGAGATGGGCACTTCCAAGGAAAAGGCCAAAATGCTCACACTTAAGCAGGTAAATTAAATTTCTTCATAAGATCTTGAAAAGGCTTCCAGAAAACATGTAGAAAGTATTATTGTTGAATTAATGCAATTATATATTCTGTCTGAATATTTTTCCAACTCTATTGGAAAATGGCTACCACTTTCCCCATTTCTCTTAAGGCAGAATAATTCCCTCAAGTAATGTATTGTCATTTTCCACAATTTCAGGAAAGTTACATCAAATCTATGAAAAAAAATCTAGCCTAATTTGACAACTGTGATGAACCAAAATCTTCACTGACTAGGTCTGAACTGAAAGGGAAGATTCTGCCCTTCTTTTCTGTCATGTTGTTCGCACAGACAGATTGATGAAGTTTCTTCCTTTGCTGAAGGAATAAAATGAGAGTGCTCTGAATTCTGCTGATCTGGAAGACATTCCACTCACAGTATATCTGTATAAGATACACATCTCTGTTTCAGGTGGTTGCCACATTCAATTAAATACGTTCAGGTCTATCCTCTTCTCATCCTGATAAAGAACCTTCTAGATGTCTTGGATTGCATCTCCTTTAAGCCTTAGACAGTCATAAAAAATATGGGTCCAAAACATCTGGTAGGCCATAGATTGTGTACTGTTGAAGACTAGGAAGATGGAAATATTGGATCTTTTATCTGTTTCATTCTTTGACCATGTTGCTCCTTAGACACAGTTCACTGAGTTTTTTTGCAGTAACCTTTCTATGCTCACTTTCCCCATAGTATTGTGTTTCTTTATACAGCTTTAATTTGTATTCTACAATCTATTAATTATGTGTTCCAAGTCTTGTTTTTCACATTTCTGGAGGGACAATTGTGTGCAAGATGTGTGGTTGCAAAGTGTATCTTGATTTTGTTTTTCATTCTGTTTTGCTTTGCATTTAGGCACTGCTTGGCCATACCGAGACAGTCACATGTTTAACAGCTTCACTGGCCTATCACATCATTGTGAGTGGGTCATGTGACCGTACCTGCATCATCTGGGATTTGAATAAACTTTCCTTTGTAACACAGCTTCGGGGTCATAGGGCCCCTGTTTCAGCCCTCTGCATTAATGAACTGACGGTATGAGTAAACCCATGCCTAATGAACTGATGTATTAGAGATGAGACTTTGTAATGTGTTTTATTCATTATAATAGATTTGAAACATTATATTACATCATATACATTTCCAGGCAAAGTATCCTTCTTGGCAATGTTTTTAAAGTTGATACACAGTTATATTAGGTCATCATCTGGGGAATCTTATTTTTTCCATCGGGGCGACATTTGCCTGGAGGCAATCTGTCAAGATTGCATATTGGCACTGAGTGGACCCAGAACTGTTCACTCACTTTTTCCCTTCTAACTCTCTTCTTTCCTCTCAAGATCGTCAGCATCTCAGGACGATGGGCAGTGGTGATCTTTTGAAAGAAGCAAAGACAGAATAATAAGGCAATTTAGCTGGCAGCCAGGACCTAGATCATTTCAGCAACTCTTGAGCTGGAGGCAGGAAGAAAAGAGCGTTCTGTTGAGCTTGAGCCACAGCCTCAGCACGAGCCCCTCAGAGCTACTATTGCTGAAGTTTTCCTTCTTGCTTTTCCTGATAGAGCATGCTCCTCCTCCGTCCTATTGAGGAATGTTAGGGTGGGAACAATCAGAAAAAGTGGACTGGGGGGGGGGATTGGGGCCAAAGAGAGCTTATAGCCCAGACGGGTGAATGCAGAAGCAGTTTCTAATTACTGTATTAAATGAAAATATCCTGAAATTGTCTGAGGACTTTCTGTATGCTGTGTGATATGATTGTCCCAAAAAAGTAGAATGCTGGGTGGTTCTAGAAACCTTGTCTGTGGTGAATGAAACTTTTTTTAATCCTTCCCCTTCTGAAACTATCGTTTATCATTTTAGCACCTAATAATCCAATAACTATCTAACAATTATCTAATTAAATAATCTAATGTTATTTCAGTGGCTGTAGAAGCTACTTCCTTGTGGCTTCGTCCACAGTAATGATTGAATACCTGTCACTGCATAGGTAGAGCCTCTTGTGATGTCATTCCCAAATGGTGATTGGAACAAAAAGGTGCAAAATGACCTTGTCCGAGGTACCATATAGAATGGGGATCAGCTTCTCAGTTACTGCAGTGATAGGAACACGACTTCCATGCCAGTGCAGTAATGGAAACAGATCTAGGGGACTTCAGCTGACCTCTGCAATCTCTGGTCTATATCCCACTGTCTAATGGGGTTGCATGAGTTAAAACATTTTTAGTCACCAGATTAATCATGCCCTTGTTCTTCAGAAGCATTATTTTTTTCATCCAAGCTGATTGTGAATGCCACAACTGAAGTTAGACAGAAATCGTTCTTTGCTGAAGACTTTTTGTGTCTAAAATACATTCCTCTTTTTTTAGGGTGATATTGTATCCTGTGCAGGGACATACATTCACGTCTGGAGCATTAATGGGAACCCCATAGTGAGTGTGAATACTTTCACCGGGCGCAGCCAGCAGATCCTCTGTTGCTGCATGTCAGAAATGAATGAATGGGATACTCAGAATGTTATTGTGACTGGGCATTCGGATGGAGTGGTCCGAGTAAGTACCAGCAGTGAAATAGCAACCTATTTCTCCCCTCTTCCTTACACCTTCCTACTCTCTGAGCAATTTATCATACCTGTATATCTACTTGAAAGCCATCATTATTTTAGCTGGTGATTGTATATATTGGTGGAAGAAACAGAAAAATAAACTTAATTCTTAATTTTGAGCTATTATTTTAAGTTGTATCATGAAATAACTTTCTAGGATTTCCCATTACGTTGTTGTAATTTCTGTAGATTTCCTTAATACTTATAATACTATAAAGGAGTATTCATTACTCCTATTCTACTCTTTTTTATTGAACGTATTTATGAGAATGGAGTTGATCTTAATTTAAATGTTCAGAATATTAACTATTATGTATTTTAATGAATTATGATTTGCTGTAGCAGTGTAGTAGAAAGAAAGCTAAGCTAATGTAAAAGTAGTATATATTAAAGGATATTATCTAAGTTCCACACTGTATATCTGTCATTCCTAGTTCTGGCGGATGGAGTTTCTACAGGTCCCAGAAACTCCAGCTCCTGAACCTGTGGAGGTACTTGAAATGCAGGAAGAGTGTCCAGAACCACAAATAGGTGCTTTATTTTACTTTCTAAATTCACTTTGGTTCTTTTCAACTGTGAAATACAATGATTTATGATCAGATTGCAGTTTAAGAAAGATTGATATGGGAGTTTTGAACAAGTGAAACTTTTAGAACAAAGGTAGACTGGAGGATTCAGATGCTTGAAAGCTTCCTCTCATGCATTAACAGGTTGTTTGTGTCCACTAGATAGTGCTCGGAGGTGCTGCAAATCAACCAGGGAGAGAATTAATACAAGTGCCTTTTTTCCCCCTTCCTTCATGAATCAAACTAAAAGAAATGGAGCTATCAAGTTCCTGCAAATAGTGTGGGATTGTTAGGCACTCATGGGTATGGATTAGTCCATGATTTACTGTTGTTTGATAATAAGTATCATTGGTTTTCAACCTGCATTGAAAAAGAGCACCACCAAGCCATATGTCACTTTATCCAGTCCCCAGCAACTGGTTATTACCTTAGGCAACGTGCATAGTTAGCCATTTCAAGCATTGAAAAAACATAGTCTGTATTTAATGTGGTAAGAGTGAGTCTGTGAGTAGCCGCTTTGGTACGCTAGCTCGTCATCCTAGCCATCCTAACATGCTAACACAGGTCAACGTAGATTTTAAAAAATAAAGTGCAGAATAAATTGCATAAAACATTTGAACCTTCATTTATTTCATAAAGCAGTGATTGTGGGGCTAGAGAAAAAGTGATCCATGAGCAGTGTTGTTATTAAAGCATTTCTTTTTGCCTTCCAAATAGAAGGGCAGGAAGGTCCCGATGAAGACAGCAGTGATTCTGAAGCCGAGGACCAGGCCCCTGCTCAGGAGGCAAAGCTGCCTGAGAGCCAGGCCCAGCAGGGCAATGCCAGTCACAGGCCTCGATCATCCTCAGCTCGAGCAGCAGCCGCGTGGTCCGTAGACACCAGCTCTGATGACTCGAGGCGTTGGTCTGACCAGCTAAGCTTAGATGAAAAAGATGGCTTCATTTTTGTGAACTATTCTGAAGGACAAGCAAAGGGATATTCTCATGCTCCAGCAAACCATCCAAATGCTAACCAAGGGGAGTTACGGCATTACAGCAAACTCAAACCAGGTATCAGACGTCCTTGTAAAATACAAAATTAGATGTGATGTGGATGCTGGCTTAATTTGTTTTAGCGTGTACAAGATGGAGACTTTTTCTTTCCAAAACGGCACCATGCCTAAAGAGAGGGGAAATAGGAAGGAGTTACAGTGGAGAGCGGTGGATGTCTTGATTTGGTAGTTGTGTGTCAAGTTTTTGTGTGCTTGAACAGCCTCCAGAATGTCTCAGCCTTTCTTTTATGAAAAGGAAGGAATTTGGAATCCATCCAAATGGGTATGTTGATCCAGGATCATTGTCAAAGAAAATAGTGCCTCCTGCAAGCTAAATGAGAACCATCAGTCTCCCAAATATCTGTTCTATGTTAGAAGAAGACATAGCGGTAGAGAGTTTCTGTCCTTTTGTCTCTCCATGTTAGGGAATTGGTATCCTTTTCTTCCTCTCAACCCTGTGGTATGTTCTGAAAAAGGATTGGCTGCTCCATAGCCAACCGATGGACATACCTCCGTTTCCACTCAAAGTGCTGAATTTTCTTTCCGGAGACGTCATGGATCAGTAGTTTCTGCACTTGCCTCCTTTCCAGATATGCTTACCTTATAACCTGCATCTATTTTTAGGCTACAGATGGGAGAGGCAGCTAGTATTCAGGAGCAAATTAACTATGCACACCGCCTTTGATCGCAAGGACAACGCACATCCTGCAGAAATCACAGCACTGGCCATCTCCAAGTAAGTGTGTTGCCCTCTCTTAATTCCTTGTGCATAACTCTTCAGAATGCAACAGAAAGTTCGGTAGCACAGGGTTCCTCACCCTTGGCAACTTTAAGAAGGGTGGACTTCAACTCCCAGAATGCCCCAGCCAGCCTTG